TCCAGGTGTTATTATCATCATCACTCTCCTGATTGTCCTGTAAGCGGTGTACGTTTCCTTGTCGGCGTACAACACTACTCTCTCCTAATTTTCTCCTTTGCATTCTACAATGAAATATTAATATATACAGTTGTTGCAAAAGGTACTGGCAGTGTAGGGGGTAGGTAGATTAGTGCCCTTTTCAATTTTCTACCAATTCTTTCAAAAATTCGAAGGACAGAAACAGTAAAAATCTCCCCGCGAATATACAGGGTGTCAAAAAAATAAAGTCAATGATTTATTCGGTTTTATTGCCCTACTTCAATTAAAATTAAGGCAGTTAGTGCACAATCCTACCTGGACGTTTCATGTTGGTTAACTGATCCACTTTCGTGCTGCACATTTGAATCTTTGTTCCTTCTTTGGCCACTAGTGCCAGCATCACCGCCGAACAATTTTTGTTTTAAATAACCTAAGAAATTTAAAATTGGCGCGATAAATGACCAAAACATTGCCATCCAAGATCCATTCTGGGTGCTAACCGTTCCGTCTTGCAACGGAAGTATTAAAATCACAGCATTAGGTACCAACTGCAACTCCACTAACGTATCATTGTTATTGGCAGCGGTAAATTCTCGTCGAGGAAATGTGATTGACAATGTAAAACTTTGGTATGGCAAATTAAGATTCTCCTTAATAAAATCTCGGACGCTTCCTAAAGTGCAGTTACTAGAAAATTCGTGAGTATGTGCAGAACCGTCTGGACACCGAAACTGTAGCCTTGCAGTGTTGCTGTTCTGCACGGCTTGCTGTACGGTCGGTTGAGTGCTGGATGTAGGCGAATTTGAAAACTTAGCGGCCCGCTCTGCCTTATCTTGCGCAATTTGGGCAAGCACACGCTGTCTAGCTTGTATCTGTTCCTGCTTCTCTTTATTTCGTTCCTCCATGAGGTCCTTTAATTCCTGATCTTGTTGCCATCTTTTCAGTTTTTGAACATCCTGTCCAAGCTTACGGCGTTCAATTTCCTTCACACGTGATTGCTAAAAATGAGAAATGTACGTTCTTCAATTTAAATGAGGAGACTAAATTATTACACCCTCCTCCTCGGCCTGCTTTTCTAAACGTTTTTGGCTGATAAGCTCTTGTGCTCTCTCAATCTTTTGTTCTGGGGTCAGCTCGTCTGATTGATGGTTAACCACTGGTTCACTGGTGGAACTTGGTAATGAATTTGCAGTGGGAGCCTCTTGGGTGACAATTTTCTCTTGGTCTACCAGATCTTGTGATGAACTTGCTGTTAATAATAAAATATATAGCTACAATGAGAAACACTACCACTCTTACCAGGTGTCGTTAGTACACCGTGCCTTTGTAAAATTTCCTGTAACTGTTGTAAAAATACTGCTTTATGGAGGACATCAGTTACGACCTCTAATGGACTACCACTTTTACCAATAAAGAACAATGAGGGAACGGATGCTTGCTTATCTATACAATATTAAGCAAATACACAGGCTTACTTTGTAAAAACACCACAAAGGATACATATTTGAGTAAACTGCTGATGTGGTACAGAATTTTCCTCTACTTTAATAGCAACAAAGTGATTGCTTTCTAATTGTGTGGATACCTCTTCATTTTCAATTAGACTAGTAAATTCTTTCGATTTTTCGTCTTTACCTGAAAATTAATACAAGAAAAGGAATTTAATTGAATTTTGGATATTTGTCATCTATCTCACCTTCAATGTACACGACAAATACAGTGCCCTTTGTTTTGGAGACCGTAACCGCTTCGGCAATATTTCCTTGGTACCAGCGCATTTTTTCTTTACTTCTTTTTCATTAAAAACTATTAATTAATTGAAGAAAAATTTTTCATGACGATGACTTGACAAACAGATGATTTAACCGAAGCATTGCCACCAACATGCAATTCCTAAATGTCACCAGGTGAAATAAAGCACAGTATACACCTTTGTTTTAAAGGCCCGATTGGACCTGAACGTTACTACGTCTATTGACAGATGTCCTTAATATTACAAGTTTGGAACTATATCTAAACATTTAATTTGACAGGCATTTGAAATCGTACATTCTATGAGGTTAGTCCAAGCTTTTTTGTAGATTATTTAATTACCTATTGCGGAAATGAAATTAAAATTTGTGAATGTTTGTATTTTCGCAATATCTCTGCTTAAAAAACAGATATCTAAATGCAGTTTTTACTGATATACTCATTTTTTAATCTTGTTTGATAATATCATATAAAATTATAAGTACCTATCGTTCCATTTGAAATTTTTAAAAAAACCCTGCAAAACTGAAAGAGGAGGGCTATGGTTGGTAGAAATTAATACCTTTCATTAGAGTACCATGAAGGATAAAACTAGTTCCACCCCCTTCCCCTCCAACCCCATACTTTGATAAGAGGGCAGAAAGAAGGGCAGTAGTTGGTAGAAAACGGTTCCTTACGTTAAGACATTAATTAGAAAACACTGAGAGATAAAAATAATTGTTAACCCCTCCCCCTCTTCAGGCCCGGTCGCTCCCTCATTTCGAAAAAGAGTCGCACGGGAAAATTATACTTTGTACAAACCAATTTATTTCGATGAGACCTTTCATTAGAATTCCATGAAGGGTAGACCATGCCCCCCCCCCCCTTCTAAAGTTTAACTTGGCACTAAAGCCTGCGTATGCAAAATCTGAGACCAATTGGTTGTCGTATGTAAAAGTTATGCACGTTTTCTTTCAAAAACAGCATCTCAGGAAATAATTCGTGGGGGGGGGGGGCCCTTTTAGACAGCGAAATTTGATGGCTGTCTGGCACACCTTCAAGGTATAGGCTACCCATCCCCTAGAAGTAGTTCAAAACGGTAGAAGTGCGTCCGGACGGACGAACAAAACGCAAAAAATAGCACATTTTTTTAATTCTTAAAA